TAACAGATATTGGCTTTGAAAATGTTAGTTGGATTTTTTTCTCCTGCACTAGGGAACCCTTCAAAATGATCCATGATTTCTGTTAGCTTTTTTCATCTGTTTAGAATAACTGCCACAAAAAATAATCATTTCAAAAAATAAGTGAAAGCAAGTATATTCTCAGAAGCCCTTTAAAGGACAGAGTGAACATTATTTTTGAAAAGTAGATATTAAACATCTTGTTTTTTGTAAATCTCCACAGATGTCAGGAATAAACATTATTAAAGACTACAAAGAATTACTTTTAAACATGAAAAAAAGCATTCAAAATTATTTACTCCTTTGGTGACTTTTAAGATAGTTATTTTTGGAATGTTTTAGGCAATAGGACTATAACTGCACAGCATGCCTATGTGCAGCTAACTGTCTTCTCACTTGCTCCTAATGGATTTGTTTTTTCACTAAGACCTACATGACACTGCTTCCATGGCTCAGTAATGAACCCAGAGCTTGTTCTACTCCACAGAATAGTCCCTTATAGAAGTCACTGATTGGTCAAAAGCAGCAGGAGAAAATAATATGCTGTCAAGGTTTTTGCATCCTTTTATGAAACTCTTCCTGAGCACAAGGTGTCCATGAGTAATTTCCACTTGTGAGTTTTGCAATATTTTATGCTTATTATAACCAAAACCTCAGAATATATTACTTGCAAATTTCCTCTATACTTGCAGAGCAACAGATATTCTAAACCTTAAGAACTGTGATCTCTGGCCCTTGCATTTATTTTAGTCCATCCATTTAATTAGTGGGTTGTTCTTAATGATTCTGATTTGGAGTTATTATTTCACATTTAATCAATTCTTTATAATCGTGCTTAATAGCACAGTTGTCTCCTAGGTGATCTCATGCCTGTAGAGCTCATTTTACAAGCCCTGAATAGGTGCCCCAACTCTTGCTCTTCTCTCTCTTACATGGTCTGATCAAACTTTGTATCTAATTTTCTCTTACATTCTTCCCAAGGGGGAAAAAAAAAAAACAAAAACAAAACATCTCCAGGAAAGTTGGTGGATGGTCTGCCCAGTCTGCAACTCACCATTCACACATGCAAACATGAGTCACGCTTTTTTACAATGTATTCAGAGATAGGTTTTATGTCCTACTAATTTGACACTGCCCAGAACAGTGTCTACTATTCAGGAGAATCAGAATTTTTTTCTTCAACTTCTTGGCAGAAGAATACCCAATATAAAAAGAGAAACCCCAGACTGGGGTTGTGGTTCAGTGTTACAGCGCTCACCTAGCACATGTGGGGCCCTGGGTTCTATACTCAGCACCACATATAAATAAACAAAAATAAAGGTATTGTGTCCACCTTCACCTAAAAACAATATTTAGAAAAATAAACAGAAAAAGCCAAAGAGATATCCTAGTAAGTAAAAGTCTAACTTTTCTGGAAAATGTATATTTTTCTCATATTGTTCTCCACTTATCTTGAACTTGTCATTTTTTCCTGTTATATATTTCCAGAAACCTTCATTAGACCTTTTCGAAAATGTATGTAATAGCCTTTAATCTTCTCCTTTTATATCTGTATGATTATTCTGCATTTTTAAGTCTTTATATTAATCAAGGTTCTTCAAAGAAACAAAACCAGTAGACTAAAACATTCTAATTACATATAAAATATAGATTGATTGATAGATAGAGAGGGAGTGGGAGGGAGAGAAAGAGAATTATTACAAAAATAGGTTCATGCAAGTACAGAGGCTGAGAATCCCCACAGTCAGCCATCTCTAAACTGGAAAGAGAGTGCAGTAATTCATTTCAGGTCCAAAGTACTAAATACAGTAATGCTGAGACAGGGAAAATAGAAAGTGAATTTCCCAGTTCAAACAGAGTAACTTTGTTTTTTCTCCACCTTTTAGTCCCATTCAGGCCCTCGGTGGATTTGGTAACAGCACATTTGGGTGAGGGCAATCTTCTCACAGACACAATAAGCAATGTTTTATCAGCTATCTGGGTATCCTTAAATTCAGTCAAGTTGACACGAAAGCTTAATCATCCCAAGACTATAGTGTGTTCATTTTCTCTTGTCTGTGTTTAGTCTTCATCAAAAGTGGGGGCCTCCCATGTTTATGAAACTCATTGCCCAAAGAATTCATTCTGTGAATATAGTTTAAGCGAGCTAACTACACATTTGCCGCTTCTGACATTTAAGTTTATGGTCACATTTTATAAAAAAAAAAAAATCTACAAGTGTGCCTGTGCCTTATAGATTTAGATCTTTATCTATCCATTGAATAATGTAAAGAAACATATTATATAATTATAAAACTACAAATTTCCTCAGGGTGCTTAAAATCTTCCAAGTTAGAATGCCAGCATATATACCTAAATAAATAATATACGTTTTTCACATTTTATTTACTATAATTTTAGTAGTATATTTCCTTAAGAAACTAAATATTCTCTTAAAATTTTTGCCAAACCTCATGTGCAATATCACAGCTCTTTGGATTATAATGCATATTTACTCTCAATTCTGATTATTCCCTTGGAAACAAATGTTTAAAATATAATTTCTAAGTCATACTGTGTGAACAAATAAAAGTTATTATGATGAATGTATATAAATCCTGAGCCTTTTTAATTTTTCATTTTGAGATAAGGTGTTGCTAAGTTACTGAAGCTGGCTTTGAAATTGCAATCCTCTTGCCTCAGCCTCCCAAATTGCTGAGGTTACTAGTCCACACAACCACAACTGGATCAAAGTTTCTATTTAATAGGAAAATTTTTCAAAATTTCCTTTTGTGACATTTTTCATTCTGAGAAATATTTTTCTATATGTTTCTTTAGATTTTTTGTCACTTTTATTTTGACTTTAATAATTTGATATATGTGAAATTTATTCTAAGAATTAAATGATGTTCTTAGGTGCTAGGTAATTGTTCTTAAGCTCGATTCTAGTTCCTAGAAGTGTCCTTAACACAGAGTAGGAATTTTTAAATAATAAATTCACAAGGCTATTAAGTTATTAACAAGGCAATTAACAAGGTAGAAATATTTGTTCTATTTTTCATATTTAGACTTGTTATATATTAGTTCTGAGTTTTAGGAGATGTTTCCTTATATTGTCCAATTTTTATCCCTAAAATTTTCTTACAGAAAACCTACTTAATACTATATTAAATTGGATATTATTAGTACATAAGCATAGCTATTCTCTAGTAAATCTTAAAGCAATGAGTTCAGGGTTTTATGAATTAATGTTTATCATATTTGGTAAAACAACTATAATAATCATGAAAACAATAACAAAAATAAAAACTTTTTTTTTGCAATTTTCCAGTGATAGAGGAATTACCACAAAATATAAAATATAATATTTTTCTTCTACAATTATATTTCACAGAAAGTTTTGTTTTTTGCTTTGCTTTCTTTAAGACACCACAGAAAGGAACAAAAGTGAGAGATTAAATGTGACTTGATAATGAAGATGTCACCTTAACTGGAATCCCATAAAACTATCCATAGGCATGTTACCAAAACCAGCTTAATGTTATGATATAGAAGAAAATTATTTAAAGGGAATTTATTTCACAAAATTAGAAACTTCAAGATAATAAATTTCTTGTCTTTAGACATATATAGAGATGAATCAAAAGTTCAGTTTTCTTTCGACCTTAAAATATTGTTAGTTTTATAGTTTCAGCATTTCAACATGAAACAATTTATATTTTATTACTGTCAAAGAAATAAGGTTATAAATTCATTCATCACCCAGAAAAGTCAGCTTCAAATTCTATTTAACAATAAGTTAAATGGAAATTTACTATGAGATATTTTCTACCTTTCAGTAGTTTGAAATCTAATTATGTTTCATGTAATTATAGACTTTAATAAATCAATCCATTTTGTTATCTATCCAGAAATGTGAAATTATGCTATTATTTTACATAGTTCAAAATCTCATTGCTATATAAAATTAGTGGAAAACTGGATCAATTGCATTTTTTCACCATTGAATCTCTACTATTTCTATGACACCAGACACTGAATCTTAAATTATCCCAATTTAGAGTATGTTTAAATTAAAACTTTTTTAGTATACTGAGAACTTATAAAATTATATTAAGCAAATTTTCTCTCCATGGAAGCATTTATATTTTACTCTTAGTAAGTGCATACAAACAAGATAAATGCATACCTAAGCAAGATTGCATGAACTTATTTTGTAATAGAAGAATCTGAATAATCAAACATTGCTTCTATCGGACAAACTAATTTTCACCTACATATTTTCCTCCCCATTGATTTTGTGTAGTGTCCTATCCAAAGGCAGGTTTTTTTCAATATGGTTTTATTACTCCAATTCATTAACCTGACAGAAACCTTTCAAATTAAAGACTTTTTCAATCAATGTGTTACAGTTGAATGAAAACTACTTTGGCTATTTTAGCACAATACTTTATATGCTTAGAATAAACACAAATGTGATATCTAAGAAAACCTATATACATTCAGATCTAGTTCTAAAAATCTGAATATGTGGCTTGCTAATTAGAGTGTACATAGCATTAAAAACTATGGGAAGATGTTCATGCATTTAGCATTTAGCAATTCAGTAAAGGAGTCTCATTTCTGCACTGTATGATGTAATATTTATGATGATGTGTTTTTAGATCTCAGAATGTATTTATATAAAATTCTTAAAGATTTTATATGATTCTAATGACTGTATTTATTATGAATATACCCAATGGACTCAAACTCTGAAAGTATATTTTTGTTATATATATATATATATATATATTAATGTAGTTATATAAAGCTATTTTTTCTAGGTATTCTATTTACCCTTTCTAAGTCAATCTCTTTGGATTCTGTGTTGCTTTCTGATCCTCAGACATCAGTCTGAGGTGGAATGTAGTGTCTAGCTTTAAGTATTGTCTCACTTGAAGGAAGTTCCCCAAGATTACCCACATATATTTCCAAACTGAACCGCTATGTTTTCTTTTTCCCTGATAAATTGCAAGCCTTTTTTTTTTTTTTTTTAACCAGGAGAGGGTGTCACTATGTTATCCAGGCTGGCTTTGGACTGAATTCCTGTGTGATCTTCTCACTTCATTCTCCACAGTAAATGGGATTATAGACAATTGATACCACATTTGGCTTTGCAAGCATCCTTTCCAAAGATTGTTGTTAGGAACTCTGGGTGGGATATGTAGATCATGGTGATAAATACCCATCATCTCATCTAGATTCTCTCTAGCTATATTGTATTGAGCAACCTGCAACAAGAAACAATAAAGAGTTTGCCAAATATTATTGATGCATTTTTGCAACCT